CCGCCAGAGAAACCACGCACACACAGCCAGAAGAACAGCAGAGGAGAATCCCACAGCAAAGAACAGGAACGCGCGCACATCAATCGACGACGAGCCGTCGTCGCCGTCCCTGTCACCCGGGCCGACGGCGACTTCCTCAGACGCTGGGTCCCAGCGCATCCATGCCGTCGCGCCGAGGATCCGGCCTGTAGTGTTGAGGGCAAGGACGCGCAGGTAATCCTGGGATGTGTGCGCGGGGACTGAGATGATAGTTTCGAACCCGGATTTGGGGACGGCGGTGAGGAAGGTTATTGACTCGTCTTCCTCGGTGGGGTCACGCGTGTCCGAGCCCTGAAGGACCCATGTCGCGACCTCTGTGGCTCCATTCCAGCTGACGGCTGCTTCGTAGCGGTACAGGGCGAGATCTGGGCTGGTGCGCGGGCGACCGGTCCAGGCGTGTTTGAAGACGCGGTAGGAGAGGATGTTGCCTGCGCTGAAGGCGGATGCCGGGCCGAAGTGGACGTGGCAGAGGACGTCGCCGGCGAGGGTGTACTCTGTCCAAGCGGCACTGGCGCCGTAGCCGAGGAGGACGTTGCCGGTGTCGAGGAGCTGGACGGACCCCTGGGACTGGCTGCTGATGGGGTGCGGGTTCCAGTACTCGTGTCGGACGCGGACGGTCATTTGGTGAGTGTCGATGTCGAGGTAGAGGCCTCGGCTGGTGAGGCGCGGGGCGCCCTCGCCGCGGGAGGCGTTGTCGAAGAGCGTGATGGCTGTGCCGTTGTCGCGGAAGCGGGCGTGGTGCTGCCAGGTGAAGTTTGTGGCGGCGCCGGCGGAGAGGTCGTGGAAGTCGTTGTGTTTGCCGCCGAGGCGCCAGATGATGTTGCCTGTGTGGCCGTCGATGTACGTGAGGCAGCTCATGTAGCGCGAGGAGACTAGGAAGTTGCCCGCCGCGTCCTTGTCGACGCTGTTGATGTGGAAGAAGTCCCAGGGGAGGTCTTTGGAGCCGCCGGTGCCTTCGCGGCCGCGGTAGCCGTCAGTGAGGTTGAAGTGTTCGGATGCGCGCCACTGGAAGAGCAGCTGGCCGGTCTCGATGTCCACCTCTTGGAATGTGCCATCCCATATCCAGCCCTTTTCGGGGCCGCCTGCGGACCGTAGATCTGCGGGGACGACGTCGTAGACGGTGAAGAGGGCGGTTTCATCCCTGGTGATATGGAACTCGTGGAGGTCTGCCGGCAGGCCGTTGGCTCCCCGGACGGTATATGTCTCTTCGTAAGCCGAATCTATCTATACGAAGATTGGCATCTGCCGCCTGTTTACTTAGACACAGACACAGGGCTTACCATGTAGTATGTCCCGTCGCCATGCCCCACGATCCCATCGTTGCCCACCCAGAACGTGAGATAGTCCTGGCCTTTGTACGCGTACACGTTCACGTTGTACGTCTGCCCGTAGTGTTTCGTCCACACCAGGTGACCATCCTGATCGATGATCATTGGCCCTGGATTTCGCACCGCCATTCCTCGGGGCGCAATCAGCGTGTATTGCCCATCCTTGCATTGAGGATTTGAGTCCAAATAGTTCAATATGGGGCCCATCAGAGCAGAAGAACGATATGTCTCCGTGGGCCATTGTCCCAGGTCCCCATCTTCAAAGCGATTCGACTGGAAATACGGTCCGCGATCTGCTTGTGCAAGAGTGAATGCCAGTGCGACGGCCAACCATGTATGCCGCAGCCTCATCACATCAATCAAGGAAGAAAGATGTCCAGTATATGGTACAGCAGACCGCGGCCACTAACAGGGTATCGACCGTCCCGAAGCCAGCATGTTGGTTGGCTCATATCTTTAGAAAGGAAGAGAAGAGAGAGACATAAAAAGGCAGTCGATGGCTCGAGCGGCCAGCGACCGAACTGCGACATCAAAATTCGGAACTATTTCGATAGACGCGTGGACGTCCACGTCTCCACGACAGCGAGCACCATCTCGTCGCCTAGGTCCACCCATTCGAAGCCGTCCTGTTTCGTCGCTTATAATGGACTTGGATGGCCTGCAGTTGCCAATGATTGTTATAATCGACGCAAAGTCATTCCATCTTCCTTGATTGTCTGCTGCTTGTCTCATTGAATCGGCAATCCCAAGATTGTACGCCGAGCGGGTATCGCGTGGCTGGGTGGAGTCAAGATCTCCATCTTTTGGATTAATCAATACGCTAGAGCTTTAGCGATGGTTTAAGGAGCAAGCGAGAAAGCGGTGGCAGCAAGATGGACTCTATCTGCCAATTGTGTTTGTGCTTGGATGAAGCTACTCTCTGGGTCAGTGCAAAATGATGACGACGATGCTTAGGATTTCTTTGATGACGAGTCCGCCAATATCTCAAGGCTGAAGCGCACGACTTCTGGAATTGACTGAGGCACTTCTGGTTTGGAGTCGCTGAACTGACTGTCTCACGGAGCTCATTAGTTGACGACAACTCGAGGAGATAAGAATGCGCGATGGAGGCCGAGTCCTGGAGGTTGCTGCAACTGTCTGCTTGCCGAAGTTACGCGGAGCACTATGCTGCTTTTCCTTCAGCTACCTTCGCATTGCAAACGTTCTCTTGCTCTCAAAATGAGAGGTTATCAAGCTGGTCTTCTAATACAGCTCTGTTATGATGCGCAGCTTCTCAATCAATGCCCTCCGAGGAGGAATGAGAAGAAGCCTGCAGCAACCCGCTTAACCTCACCGAGAGCGCCTTAACACGCCGTTTTCTCCTGACGTCACATTGGCTGAGACAATGACTCCAAGGTCAGAGTGGCTCAGCCTTCATATCGCCTATGTGATTGCCTCGCCAGTCGTCTCTCATCCTGGCTTCTTCGGTAGGGCCGATTTCAAAGCCAACTGACGGGCGCTGATCTCGTCATTGGAGGGACCAACACTGCTTGAGCGAAGCAAACAGACTGATTTCGAATTACTTTCACTTAGGTGTTTGCCATTGTCGAAGCAAGTGGGCATTCATGCGTTAGCACGACTACTCGCGACAGGTCCCCAGTCCGCCAACATCTGGCCCATCTCCTGATCAAGTACAGTTCATCCCTTGCGGCATTGTGCTAGATCAAAAGCCTCTATAAATGCATTAAATATTTGTATCAAGAAAGCATCTGTCTAACAACATGAGCTTATGAACTGTGTATACATGCAGGTTATAGCACGTCCTGTAATCATTAGCTGTTCTATGTGTTCGGTGGGGGTATGAAACTATATGAATCAAGGCATGGTATTAAAAGACAGAATGTAGCATGCCCCATACTTTTAGTGAGACTACTTGGTGCGCTTGTAGATCTTGCCAAGGAATGCCTCGAAGACCTCTTTCTTCAGGCCCTGACTTTCGTCAATGGCTGCGATCTTGCCGCGAAGCTCACCAACGGTCTTCTCCTCATACTCCTTGTAGACCTTCTCCAAATCGAGTTCCTTGTAGAGCGCCTTGACCTTGGCCTCAAGCTCGCTGTCCTTGCGGCCGTAGGCGGTATCGAGGAGTTTGCGCTGCTCAGTGTTGCAGCGCTGAAGAGCTTGGTTGACCAGCCATGAGCACTTGTTGTCCTGGATATCAGTGCCGATCTTGCCGATAACGGCCGGGTCACCATAGGCGTCCAGGTAGTCGTCCTGGACCTGGAAGTACTGACCCAGCGGGATCAGGATGTCGTGGGTCTGTTGAAGGTTCTCGGGGGTGGCAAGTTCGAGGTAGAGCAAAGCAAGAGCAACGGGAAGGTAGAAGCTGTAGTAAGCGGTTTTGTAGGTCACGATGAACATGTACTTCTCCATAGAGAAGTTGTCCAAGTCAACCTTGTCCTCAGGGGCTGTAATGAGATCGCACAGCTGACCGAGTTCCGTTTGCCAGGTGGTCTCGTGGAACAGCTCAATGAAGTCGACGTAGGCAGGGTGAGAGCGGAAGTGCTTCTTGAGGATAACGTAGATGCCGGACTCGAGCATGAACGCGTCGTTGATAGCGATCAGCCCAACTCCGGGGTGGCGGTACCAGCACGGCTGGCCGCGACGAGTGATCGAGCCATCCATCATGTCATCGCTGACCAAGAAGAAAGCCTGGAGCAGCTCGGTCAACCAACCCAGGATGCTGAGATGCTTGAACTGCTCGTCGGTCAGGGGCTTCTGCAGTAGAGCGAGGCCGGTATCTGGAACGGAGAGGCCGCGGTTGAGCTTTCCACCAGGAACATTGACATTGATGACCTATTGAAAGAACATCGGTTAGCTTCAAGATCGTTCCGAGATCAGTTGTAAGCGAGCGCGTCGACCGGGGGCTCACCTGTTCGAACCACTTCAACGCATTATCAGGCAGATTATATTTCTTAGCATGGGCCAGGAGATCTTCAGCCAATGTGGGGAAAACAGCCTCGAAGGCTTCACGACTGGTGGTAGCCGCCATCTTGCTTATATTGAAAGTGTCTTTGGAGAACAATGCGAATATCTTCGAGCCCCTTTTTAAGCAATTGATGTTGCAGATTAATACCAAAGAGAGGGGCGGAAATAATCTACGATAACGGAAGCCCCCCTCGGAGATGGAAATTTGCAGTATTTGCACTATTTGATCTGTTTGCTCTCTAGCTCAAAGCGGGAAATGGCCCAATCGGGAAATTTGTCAGTCAACTATGATGATGATCACTCCTCTCTGTATTGTCAGATTCTCGCTCGCAGCATTTGTGGTCTTTAGCTGCTGAAGTTGGAGATAATACGGCTGTCATTACCAGTAAACAGTCTGGACTTACATGGGATCAGCAGCAGCTCTCTCGTGATCATCTCAACCTCAACGTTGCGCGTCGGCCATTTCGCGATTTCGAGCAAGGCGCGACAATAGACTCAACGCGACGGTTGAGATAGCTAGCGCCGCTCTTGATCCGCATGAGAGACGAATGTGATAGCGACCTAACTACCAAGGAAGAAGCTTCCCCGCGCGCCCATCGACGTATGCAGACAAGCCATCGGAAGCAGTCCATGCGATAAGATCTTGGAGGATCCTCAATCCTGACCAAGATGGCGGTGAATATAACGGAAGACAATATCAAGGATCTACAGTATCGATTCGAAGACGCGACCATCAAATGCTCCGAGCGATGTCTTTACCAATCTGCCAAATGGTACAGGCCAAGATTGACCCTTTGCTAAGCGCTAAACTGATTTGGTCTCCTCAAACACAGGGCTGCGGAGATGCTCGACTCCCTCCTGCCGATTGATCAATATGATACAGATCCCGACTCGCCAATGGAAATAGCCGATGCCGCTCCGACTCCCCAGAATCCTTACCTTCGCAGCCAAGACCGTCTCGAACTTGCGTTAGAGGCCCAAGAAGCTCATAAATATCTGTTGGCGAAATCCTACTTTGATACGCGCGAGTATGACCGCTGTGCTGCTGTCTTCCTTCCACCAACCATACCCCCTGTTCCACTCTCCAGCACATCACTTCCTACGACATCGCCGAAACCGAAAACGAGACAATCATTGACTCCGCAGAAAGGCAAAGCCAAAGCTACTTCGTACTCGAGTGTCAAGGAGAATAGCACGGCAAGGAATCCATACCCCAAGTTGAGTCAAAAGTCACTGTTCCTTGCCTTGTACGCCAAATATCTAGCGGGGGAGAAGCGGAAGGATGAAGAGACCGAGATGGTGCTGGGCCCGGCAGATGGCGGGATGACCGTCAACAGAGAACTCCCCGGCTTGGCTTGGGGGCTTGAAGGGTGGTTTGCGGAGAGACGAGAAAGAGGCCTGGAAGAGCGCAACCAGGGCTGGCTGGAGTATCTTTACGGTGTTGTTCTTCTAAAAGGTCGTAATGAAGAGGAAGCCAAGAAGTGGCTTATCAGGAGTGTTCACTTGAACCCATTCCACTGGGGTGCTTGGCAAGAGCTGAACGATTTGCTTTCAAGCACGGAAGACGTATGTTGCCTTGCTGCTGATTGATCTGATGGCAGTTACTGATCCTTCGCGCAGCTGAAACAAATAGTGGACCTTCTCCCTCAGAACATCATGACCCTCATCTTTCACGTTTATTGCAGCCAAGAGCTCTACCAGGCGACCGAAGACACCTACCAGGCCCTCTCAGAGCTCGAGACAATCTTTCCCACCAGTGCATTCCTAAAGACACAAAAAGCGCTTCTCTATTACCATTCGAAAGGTTCTGTTCTTTCCATTCCTGTCGCTGACCTTAGGCTAACTATCCGATTAGACTTTGAAGAAGCATCACATATATTTACAGAGATATTGATAACATCCCCTCACCGTCTTGACAGCCTTGATCATTACTCCAATATACTTTACGTCATGGGAGCGCGTCCACAGCTAGCCTTTGTCGCGCAGGTCGCAACCGCCACCGATAAGTTTCGCCCTGAAACATGCTGTGTAGTCGGCAATTATTACTCGCTAAAATCCGAACATGAAAAAGCCGTGATGTACTTCCGGCGCGCCCTTACACTCGACCGAAACTTTCTCTCGGCCTGGACCCTCATGGGCCATGAATATATCGAAATGAAAAATACCCACGCGGCAATCGAGTCCTACCGGCGGGCCGTTGACGTGAACCGCAAAGACTACCGTGCGTGGTACGGGCTGGGCCAAGCGTACGAAGTGCTGGACATGTCATTCTACGCCTTATTCTACTATCAGCGCGCAGCAGCGTTGCGGCCCTACGATCCCAAAATGTGGCAGGCGGTTGGATCCTGCTATGCCAAGATGGGCCGTGTTGAGCAAAGCATCAAAGCGCTCAAGCGCGCCCTTGTCGCCGGTTCATATTACGCAGACGATGCCTCTCAGGGCGGTGGATTGGGCGGACCAGGGCGCAAGATTCTCGACCCCGAGACCCTTCACCAGATTGCCACCCTCTACGAACGGCTCGGGGATGAAGAAGAAGCCGCCTCATACATGGAGCTCACGCTACAGCAGGAAACTGGGCAAGGGCCCGAGGATGAATCCTTTGTCTCAGACAATGACAATGACGATGACCAATCCGGCGGTGAAGGTCAGCAAGGCGCACGGCGTGCTCGACAGTCCTCTTCGTTCGGCAACCAGAACGATAGCGAGGATGGTACATATCATGGTACTGGTGTGACGGCTACGACATCCAAGGCACGTCTGTGGCTTGCGCGGTGGGCCTTGCGCCACGGTGACCTGGAACGAGCAGATCAATTGGCGGGTGAACTGTGTCAGGACGGAGTCGAAGTTGAAGAGGCAAAGGCATTGATGAGAGACGTCCGGGCCAGACGAGAAGGGGGTGGGTAATTCCAACGGGTTCATCCCTACGTTGACGTACTCTTTTTCTGAAGTTTAGCGAGGGCGTTATGTCGCAGAATGGGTAGGGTATAACTTGATGTAGACCAATATGACGCACACTCATGGCCGAATATATAGCGGACAGCATTGCATGTTAAGGAATCAACCTCGTCTGCATTCTCAGCGTGACGTATACATATACACATTACAGTCTATCCTCCAGTGACTGGCTGGCTTCTCCCTTCAATCGTCTTATTATATACACATCCGACCGTGAGCATATCATTCCATGACTCGCCCAAAAAACTCATGTATATAAAAAGCTCTCCAGATAGTCCCTCCAAGCAATAACAAATCCCTAACTCCTTTCCTAGGGGTATAATATGAATGCAACATAAGGGATGGATCAAGAACTCAAATCTCCCAAATTCCCCAATTCACGGCTGTCAAAGGTTATAGCGATATGCGGTGCTCTCACAGCGCTCTGTGGCCTAATCAACTCCCGTAGACATAACCGTTGACCTCCTTCACCATCCACTGGGGTCCCGGGTATCTCTGAAACACAAACGTCATCATTCGAGTTCTCAACGCCTGTCTCTGGGCTCCACGATACGCAGGCGTAGAAGTATTCTCTCCCGATAGTCTCCCACGTCATGCGAAGGAGAAGCCTGGGGTCGTCTAGTCTTGCCTTGAGAGTGAGCAATTTGGCATCAAGAATGAAAATCTTGCCGTTTCGTGGAGATTTACGTCTGTTGGATTTGAGGGCTGTTGAGACCTGTTGGCTGAGTTCGAGAAGAAGGTTCCCGAGCGAGCCTTGCGATATTGTTGCTATATACAAGCCCAGGGCAAGGCCATGATGTACCGTACTGGGATTGGGGCTCCTGGTAGGATAAAATGGTCTGTTTGAGCATACTTTCTGTACGAAAGTCTGAATATCCTTGGCGAGATTGGAGGAGTTGGCGGGGATTAAGCTGTTGGCAGAGTCATCATGAACCAGGTCCTGATGGAAGCATAATGGAATCATTGTCAGCGGTGACTCGATGCATGGACGTTGGTTGCAAGAGCTAGGAACGACAGGAGCGACACTGGCAGCATGATTCTCGGCGAGCTTTCGGCGCTTCCTCGGTTGCAAAGGTAAAGTTATGGAGGTTGCTTGCACATTTGAGGCATTCGATGGAAACATGATTCCATTCTCCTCGCCGTAACTAGAACTGTTACCTTTGGACGGGTCGGAGGAAGACTCCTGGTTGTGTCTTGTACGACTTTTTTGAATGGACGATAAGTTGTCATTGCTTCTCAGAAGCTTTCGAGGCGGCTCGAATGGTTCCGGGGACGATGCAGCTGTTGTCGAATCATCCACGAAAATGGGAATGGGATCTGCTGGTACACGCCCCTCATCGACGCGATTCGATTCCTGGAAGGAGTCCCTCAATGAATGTTGCGGTTGGGTTCGAATAACAGTCGTGGCGATAGCTTCGAACGACGATCCCTTGCTCGGGCTAGATGCTGTCATCGGACACGAGCTTGTCCCAGAGGATGTCGTCTGTGACTTGGTCACGATATAGTGCGATGACACCTGTCCTTGCTGGAGCTGTCTTCTCCACTCTTCCTCTTGATGCAAGTCTTCTGCTGGTACCATCCGAGCTTCTTCAGCTAATAGTTGGAGTTCTTGGTACGAGGCTGCCTCTTCAAATGACCTGTCCAGGAAAATTTTTTGAACTCGAGGAAATCGAAGTGTAAAGTATCTGGCACCTGATGGCTTCTCGAATCCACCTCCCAACATCTCGACCACGAACGGTTTCTTGAACACGGTATTCATGTCGGAGAGACTATCCTTTCCAAACTCGATCCGGAACCCATGACCTGAATCCAGACCGCAGGCACCAAACTGCCCAAACTGATTGAGAATTTGCATACTTTCCAGGCTCATGGAGTTATGGTCAATGACATCCATAACTTGAAACTTCGGCTCAGCTGCGGACTGCAAGACCGCGTCTTTGTTGACCAGACAGCCGATGTGAAAGTGTGTCCAAAATATCTTCGTGGATAAATTCAACGCAGCAGCATCCCGAGAGTCATATTTAGCGCCGATTAATGCCAGGTCTACGGTGTCCCCCAACCCTGGTATGTAGTCCTTCTTGAGCTTGATCCAGCGACCAGCGGAGCCGTTCCCTGAACCAGGAAAGATGGAGATGTAGGGATCTTCACAACCTTTTAGGACGAGTCCTTCCCATCTTTCCCTAACTGCCTTCGAGAATATTGTTTCGAGACGAGACCGACCATCGGGACGGGAGAATTCGACGATGTGTTGCTCTGCAATGTCCGCATATCCATCTATTACTTTGACAACATCCTTTAGAAGTAGTCGTCGCTCGCGATGTGGCTTCCTAAGGCAGATGTCGTCATCAAGAAGCAGAATGTCGAAGAACACAATCATTAAATGCTCGTAAGTTTGCGGTCTAGCGCAGGTCAGCAATGGTTAATGCCGTGTGCTTATGCTCCTTCACTTACGGGGAATCATTGTCTATTCCAATGTAGGTGCCTGATCGAGCAATGAATTTGCGCAACTTATGAAAATCTGCGATCTTGCCGTGGTTGTCGCTCCAGACAAGTATTTCACCCTCGAGGATGCACTGGCGAGAGACTTTGCATTCAGGCTTACCCATATTCAGGGCGTCCTTAATCACCGAGAGGATTCCCGCCCTGTCATCGGTAGAATCCTTGCCACTTTTGGAGAAAATTTGGATGGGATTGGGGCGCTTGGTGAGGTCAATGTGTATCTGGCAGTATTCCCCATCATACTTCCTTTCTACGCTCATTCGACGACGGCCGATCATTTGGCAGCAGTGTTTGATACTTCGCGCCTTATAGTACTCGGGCCGGCCTACCTTGGTCCCAACCCCGGGTTTGAGATGCTGTATAGCCTGCATACACAGATCTTTTGCGAGCTCCGGAATCGGGTTCGGTGGATAGTGGCTAAGAGGTTCGGAAGCAAGCATTTTTATAGCAGAATCGAAAGAATCCTGGAAAAGCAGCAAATGCGGAAGCAGGAAATGAAAGCTTTTCATCGTGAGCTTTGTCGGCAACACAACCGGATGATAACTCTTTAGGATCATTCGAGTAAGCCATTTTGCGTCTCTACTGCTCATGCGCCGATATAATGGTCTCAGCGTATCCTCGACGTCGACCGCGCTATGCTGCCTTCGGACCCGAGAACCGGAGAATCTGCATCGGGAAGCAATCCTGTTCAATGCCAGGTCTATCTCTTCAACAGTCACCTCCTGGCCGCTGATGATGTCGAATTCCGCTTGTCGCATGACATTTTCTACACATTGTCCCAAGTCGGTACCTCCCGCGACGCGCCATTGCTCAAGCTCCTGCCGTCGATCAGAACCTAACAGAAGACAACGGCCTATGACCCTTGAAAGATTGGTACACTGTAGCCAGTAGACTCTGTCCGTTCGTTTCTCTGGAAATATGCATGACAAAAGAGCTATTCGATCCGTGTCGGAAGCATGAATCTTTTTGACATGCTGGGCAAACCATCGGATCACGGCTCGATGATCAGGATTCGAGACTTTCGCTGCGGCAGAAGCCTTCAAGACTCTATTGCGCTCTAACTCTGAGAGTAAATCACACAGGTAGGTAAACTTGAACACCATGAATGGGTATGAGTGATGGTCCTATCGTGGTTGCCGCTTCCTAGGGCAAAGACCATGGGTGGACCTAGGGTTTGAGGGAGCTTCGCAAGGTGTCTTTGGCAGGCTCACAGATGGCAACCACATGCCTCTTGGGTGATTTCGTGCGATGAGCAGAATTTGCGACGTCTCCTGAGCGAGAGAGAATGACGCGAGGCCAAACCGTGGGCGCGTCCATGGGTCACGAAAACACGTGACCCTGTACCAGATTCTTTGAGACTCTACGAGATCGTTATATACTTATGTTTTTGGAGAAAGATTGCATTTCTCGATGTCAATCAGTTCTAAATAGAGTACATAAGGCGCAGGGCCGTCATAGTCATGTTGAGATAAAATAGTAAAACCCAATCAATACCGTCCCAACGAGCAAGTTAATATCATATGCTCAAAGAGAAGAAGACCGCTTAACTCCAGGCTTTTACTCTAAACGGACCAAACCAAGGAACGAAAGGCACAATGAGCAGAAGGATCACAGAATACCCTGCTTTTGCAGACTGTAGCAAGTTAGCATCGTTTTGCTTCTTAAAGGAAAGGGAAACGTACTCAAGGTAGATCCTTTCTGGCATCACATTACCCTCGGCATCCTCCATCTGCACCACGTTATCGCGAGAGTCCCGTTCCTTCTTACGATCCTGCTCAAGTTTCTCCCACAGTTTGATAGCGTCTTCAATCCGGGTAATTTCTCGGAAGAGATTAGTATTCGACGTGATTCCCAGACACTTCAAGCCGAAGATATGTAAGGCTTCCGAAAAGTGCTTGTCGAAAGCGCGCCGACCCATGTAAACGAAGTTTCCGCAAATCTCACAAGGATACTCGACGCCCAGGCCGTGCAGCTTGTACAGCCAGTAAGGAATAGGCTTGCCGTCCCATGCCAAAGGAAGCTTGAGTGGGTTGTAAATCCTCTCGTCCCCTTCATCATCGGACTGGTCGTTGCGCCCAGGACCGCCAGCGTTTTCAAATTCAGCCATCAAGGCCTCCAGTTCCATCTGCCGCTCGCGCTCAGTCATGCCCTGCCTCCGCTCAACGTTGATACGGGTCGCCTGACGTTCAGGATCGAGGACCTTGGCTAAAGAGCGAACTCGATGCTCGCGCTCCGCAACTGCGCGTTCTTTCAGACGGTGGGCCACAGAGGTAGTGCCACCAACTGACGGTGGTGCACCCGCGCCTGAGTCACCTGCAGCTTTGCGAGCTTCGGCGGCCCGAATGTGCTTCTTGCCACTCAAATGATTCTTATAAACGTTTTCGTTCTTAAATTCTCTTTCACAATCGGTGCACCAGATGCCTTCCCCCGAGCCTTGTGTCTTTGGAGCCTGAGTACCATTCTCAACGCTGTCCTCTGTCCATCCAGGCACTTGGTTTGCTGCCCATTGCTTCTCGAAGTCTTCGTCAAAGCTTGCGAAAAGTTTGTCGAGATCCTGCAAAGGTTTTGTGCGTTTGATAAAGCTTTCCAAGTAGCCGGCAAGCTCTCCGACATACTTGAAGTACTTGTCCGATATCTTATTCGTTCGCTTGATAAGGAGATGTGGGGGTACGAATGAGTCGAACACGTCGAGATATTGAATGTATGTAAGGCGCTTAACCCCGGGAAGGTTCAGATAGTCCTCGTGTAACGTTGTGAGATCCAGAAACTGTCCGTAGGCCTCCTCGCCGGAGAACATCGTGTCGATTTCTACTCCCGTCGGTTCGCCCTCACCAGGTTGACGGCGCTTGTAGGCTCTTTCGAGGTTTTCAACCGGCTCATTAGGATAGCGCTTGTGGAAGTCCTTGATCTCGTCCAGCTGCCGGTAAAACTCGTCGAACTGCTCACCAGTGGAGATGGTTTGGATCTCCTTTTCGCGGGCTTTGTCCGCATCTTGATAGATTTCGAGTAACCTCTTCGACTGCTCTTCTATGCGCGACAAGAAGTGAGCAATCTCGTGGTCGCGAGCAAGGCGCTCCCGAATCTGAAAAAAAAACCAACAATCAGCTCTGACCAATGTAGGCAAGACAGACGGATATCTTACGTTACGAGGTTCTTCAGCGACGCGGTCTGCGATTGCTTGTTCTAACCTCTCGAGGTCCTCATGGATAAATCTCTGTTCTTCAAGAACCATGATGAAAACACCTGCGGAACGGTCTTCCCTTTAACGAGTGTGTTTATCTTCGATGGCCTGGACGTTATGCGGCAGATTGGCGCCGCTTTGAGCTTTGCGGCGAGTATCATCACGTGATTACGGCAGTGGCACTCGCGCCGCAAACTCAAGTTGCGCTCTCGAACTGTCACTCCTCCAGGCCAACATCAATCAAGCTGATCGCAATCTCTACAAGCTTCCTGGAACAGACAAAATGGCTGACGGCATTGATCGACGAACAGATGGTATGCGGTTGATGGATCTTTTGAAGAGATATGGGCTAACGGCGCAAATTCAGACAGGCTGGAGTTCAGCACCTCGAAGGAGGTCACGGTTGCCCCGACCTTCGAGGATATGCACCTGAAGGAAAGTCTTCTTCGTGGTATCTATGCTTACGGCTACGAATCTCCCTCCGCCGTCCAGTCGCGAGCAATTGTCCAGATTTGCAAGGGTCGTGACACGATCGCTCAAGCGCAATCCGGTACTGGTAAGACCGCCACATTCTCGATCAGTATCCTGCAAGTTATCGACACTGTTGTGCGCGAGACACAAGGTATGTCACTTAACACCCCTTTTGTACCGGTTGAAGCGATCCTAACCAGTATCAGCTCTTGTTCTTTCGCCGACCCGCGAACTTGCGACTCAGATCCAGTCGGTCATTATGGCCTTGGGAGACTACATGAATGTACAGTGCCACGCTTGCATTGGAGGCACAAATATTGGGGAGGATATTCGGAAGCTGGACTACGGCCAGCACGTTGTTTCGGGTACACCAGGCAGAGTCGCGGACATGATCCGTAGACGCCACCTGCGCACTCGGCACATCAAGATGCTGGTCCTTGATGAGGCTGACGAACTTCTGAACCGCGGTTTCCGTGAACAAATCTACGATGTCTACCGCTACCTCCCTCCTGCTACACAGGTCGTCGTTGTTTCCGCCACTCTCCCCTACGATGTCCTCGACATGACCACCAAATTCATGACAGACCCCGTCCGCGTTCTGGTCAAGCGTGACGAATTGACTCTGGAAGGCATCAAACAATACTTCATCGCTGTTGAGAAAGAAGAGTGGAAGTTCGATACCCTTTGCGACCTCTACGACACGTTGACCATCACGCAGGCCGTGATCTTCTGCAACACCCGCCGGAAGGTCGACTGGCTGACTGATAAGATGCGCGAAGCCAACTTCACGGTATCCAGCATGCACGGCGAAATGCCACAGAAGGAACGCGACAGTATCATGCAAGATTTCCGCCAGGGCAACTCTCGCGTCCTTATCTCCACCGACGTTTGGGCTCGTGGTATCGACGTTCAGCAAGTCTCCCTTGTCATTAACTACGACCTACCCACCAACCGTGAGAACTATATCCACCGTATTGGTCGAAGTGGTCGTTTCGGAAGAAAGGGTGTCGCCATCAACTTCGTCACCAGCGATGATGTGCGGATTCTCCGTGACATTGAATTGTACTACTCTACCCAGATCGATGAGATGCCCATGAATGGTAAGTCCCTTGGCTTTCACTCGCTTTTAACTCTTGAATGACAATATACTAACCCCTGTCTAGTCGCTGATCTCCTTTCCTAATCGACCCTCATCTTGATATTTCCAAATTTTATCACGAAAATCTGCCATCATTCCTGGGCCATCTCACCTTCCATCAAAGACACTACCCGATGGACTTACCAGTGTGCCTCGTTGCAAAATACCAGGAAGAGAAGAGGCAGAACCAGCGCGGGGGAAAGGGGGAGTTTTACCAGAATGGTAAGCTTCATTGTTTACCTTCCAAATCAGATTCCCAAGGATGAAAAGTGCGAACTGACATTATCTATTCAACTAGTTCATACAAATTTTGACGGATATCAGACCCATCACAAGAAAACACCAGGGTCATCTGATCCATGACAAGTTGTAAAGCATCAATCTCGTCTATTTTATCTCGGAGTTCAATCTAGTCATTCGGGGATCTTGCTTCCTTAGCTGGTTTGGGAATACGATGTCGATTTGAATAATGCCTTAAGTTTTTCTGGTGCCTGGATACTGGATAACATAAAAGTAATTTCGTTGATGTCCATGGTGATTGTAATCCTGAGCCCACCGGCCCAATAATGTATGCGAGGATTTTACGATAACGATAAGGCTGAGCAAATGATAAGAGAATTATGGATTTCCTTGATATTTCGCAGAGAAGAAGCCAATGTCTCCAAATACACTTGCCTGACCCGTTCCTATAGTTCGCCGCAACCCGCCGAGTCTTTCGAGCCCACGAGAAAGAAAAAGCCAAAGAGAAAGCATTGTATGTAAGCTGGTGATGATGTATTCATGTGCAACTGCCGACCACGAAGCAATCCATCAAAATGCTCGCAGCGAATGCAAAAAAGAATCTGTGAGACCAAAACCAGGGCGCCTGCTTCCTATATCATATGAAACCACAGCCAGACTAATGATGTGTATATGCTGTTAAGAGTGAAGAAAATACTGAATCTAGGAATGAAGGGGCGATTCTGTGTCTTTTCGTTGAAGGCTCTTAGGATACCTTCTTGCGATGCCAGCCAGATCTTAGGGATGAAACAATTTCGCCGAGCGGGGACCAGGGGAATGTGCTCAGAAACTTGACGTTGATCGTAGTGCACTCGTGCGTGCGGAGCCATTCACTGATACCGCCTCGCCTTTGCTAGCTGGGGCATATCGCTGCATGTCACGTTCGCGGGTCCAGCTAGAGTGTCCGTTAGACGATGTCGATAGAGGTGGAGGAAAATATGACTTACATTCTGACAAAGCAGTCATCACCTGCAGATGCAAACATGCCAGGATTTGTAGGATTCCAGGATATCGCGTTGACACAACCTGAAATATGACCCTCTAACGTTTCTACTAGCGTACCATTTTCTTTGTGCCATATGTAGACCCGTGAATCTGCAGACTGTCAGCCTAGTACATGCATGCGAAGGCGGGTAAAAGACTCACCTTCGCTGCCACTGACGACAAAGTTTTCAGCTGCGCCACCAAAGGCACTTCGGATGACGAAGTGACCCTGTTTTTGTCCCTGAAAACGCCTGATAACCTCTGTAGTATCAAGGTCGATCAGCTGTATCTGACCTTCAGACAGGTTCACGAGCATATATCGTGAGTCTCTGCTGACAGCTACAGAAGTGGGTTTGCTCTTCAGTGCGAGACAATATTCCTCTTCGTGAGTCGCAAAGTCATAAACATGAATCTTTTCCTCGACATCCGCAGCGATCAATCGGCGTCCGTCGGGAGTGATGGCGCAATCTTGAACCCTGAAGCCACCGTGCCATGTATACAGAGGATCGCCTCGCATGCTCCAGTGACATAGTTGGGAGCTTAAATCAAGGGACGCGGTCACAAAGGACTCTCCATCTGCAGCCCATACGGCAGCCGTTACAGGCTGCCGATGATGATTGATGGTCAGAAGGCAGCGGCCGGTCTGTATTTAAGTTTCGGTTAGAGACGATAGAGGGATACCAGAGATTAGTGAAGACATCCATACCTCAACACTCCAGACGCGTGCTTTCTTGTCCTGAGAGCACGTGATGAGTTTGCTATCGTCCGGACTCCAACTGACGTGCGCAACACCCTCCTCGTGCTTCTCCAACTGCCGGTACACAGAAAAGTTGGTTGTGTCATAGATGTATACGTGACGGTCCCGCCCTGCTGTGACCAACTTTGAGCCGTCATGGGAAAATTGGCAATACCAGACCTCGTCTGAATGCTGACTTAGTTCAACACCAGTTCGAAGTGGAAAATCATTTCTATCGCACATATGGTCCGAATATAGCGACGGAGGGGCTGCAGTATTATGATATAAGCAGCGGTTGATTTGATTTTGCTTGACATGATTTAGCAAAATTGCAAGACGGTTGTTTGGAATCATCACGGATGGAGATATGGATTCTGGAAGGAGATCAGCACTAGGGTCACCCGATGCCCACGAAGGTTGATATCTGTACTCACTTGACAGTTCAGATAATAGCCGCTCTCGAGAAGAGCTTATGGGCCCTTCCCAGCCAGCTTGGTGATGCAGATGCTCAGGAGGACACATCAACAAGCTACCAGTCCGATCAGTACCACTGGAAATATAGGAGCTAGGGTAGGGTCTTCTTCTGAAACTCACCTCGAAAGAGCATGAAGACGCCCAACGTCATAGTTGAGAGGTGTCAGTTCGTGCCGAAGCACGGTCAAGGCCGAGCCAAGGTCTCGTGCTTCTAACAATTCAAGAAACTTTTGTTGCCGTAGGTAGAACAGCATCTCATTCTTCTCAGCATTTTCCACCAATAGCAGCTTCTCTGTGGTTGCAGGTTTCCCAGAGCTGAAGCCTGTATCTCGCACATCTACATCAGGTGTGAATGATTTAATCAGGATATCCTCCGCCTCAGCCCAACACCCCTCAAGAACTGCCTTCCTGAATATACCAACTGCCGGACTTTCCAGCTGATAGCCGCTTTCCATGGAAAGTAGCGAGGCAGCCCCGTCGTATCCAAGCTCATACAGACTTTGTATCAGTATCCTAGTCACTTCTTCTCGGTCGTGCCCGAAATAAGAGGAAGACCTCTTTGACGTTTTCGAGGAGCCATTCTTCTGAGTTTCGCCATTTGAGGATGAGTGTGCTGGCTGGCTGTTGGAAGAGTGAGCGAAAACTGTCTTCCGCGACGGAGATGCACTCAGGCCGTTTGACGCCTGGGAGAAGCCATTTGCACTCGAGATACCATCGGGCCGCATGTTTGCCAGGCGCCTGCGCTTGGGGGACGGTGGATGTTCTTCCGGCGAATTATCAGACTGAACCGAGGCCTGTTCCTGACTAGGCGTATAATTTCCCGAAACACCTCCTGTTCCCCCAGTGAAAACAGAGGTGTCGATCGTACTGAAACGTCGACGTCGGGTACCAGCGGATGTATGAGGATTGTCGATGGAAGGTGCTGTACCGTTACTCCCAGCACCTGACTGTAGCCGGGATGACGATGGGATGCCGTCTGTAGAGCTCCTCGGAGGAGGAGCGGAAGTAAATGACGTGGGCTCGAGTGGGATAGGAAGGTTGGGGCGGTCGGGAGCGACGGAGGAGGGTGTATTAGAAGAAGAGTTGTCTGCCAGGTCGAAGATCGGTAGATCTGCCCTTCCTCCTGGCTCTGGAGCAGAACCAGGCGAGCAGATCTGAACCAGTGGCGGGTTCACCGATACTCGCCGGAAGCTTCAGTTTCACGTGGAAGCTTGTCACAGGCCGTCAAGCTCGACGATTCCTGTGTCCCTGAAACTGGATTATTGATGTCTTTGTTGTAAGAGAGAAATCCAAGTTGTAGGTTTATCTGAGCAAAGAGTGGAAAGACGTCGATCGTAGACTCGATGGGCGGAGGTCTTATCGGGGCGTGAGAGTGAGACAGCGGTCCGGGGGAGGGGGAGCCCAACGGGACCGGTGACGAAGGGGGGCACTAAGGAGCTGGAAAATGGCTGGACAAAGCGGAGCAGCGTGGTTGATAAGCTGCGAATGCACGAAAACAATTAACCACAGCGAAGGAGGAAATACGTTGCAAGGAGAGGTGAGGTGGAATAAGACGCCGATTTAGTGAAGGTTGAGGTTGAAGTTGAAGCAAGCGCCTGATCTCCTCCTCGGTCGTGGGGCGAGGACAAGTGACTCTCGCCTTGGGGGGACGAGTAATGCCCATCTCTCAAAGTCTTATCACTGTGAATGTCTACAAAATACCTTATGAACTACTTCCTTCACAAGAAATTACGTCTGTGATCTTGAGGTTATGATCTCCATTTCATGACAGACAAGGAGCCCATGACCTCCAATGTTGCTGTTGGAGTCACAGTCCGGCATGTTTGCGGGAAAAGAAACATCATCACCATCATACGTTAGCTTTCTACTCCCGATACAATTGAATCTTCGACATCTCTCAATATTGTTCTATCTACTGCCTCGGAAGTCGAGAGACTGCTCTTAGTCAACCGGACAAACAGAGGCAAGTTCAGGGATGGCAACGGTCGGAAAGAAGCTTAAACAGGTGCATCTGGATCATCTGAACAGGATCCCGTTGATAAGCTGCACCTGACTATCCAGACACTGATATCACGTTGAAGATAACATCTCTGGTCATTCATAGGTGGGATACAGTAGAGCTACGGATATTCGAGGGGAAGGTGATGGAGCTCATTCAGCACGACACATCAGCTGCCCACTCAGTGCTGTTGTCTGGTCACGTCGCGTCATTCTCCGTTTGAATCGATGCTGATGATTGTTTCAAGCGTTCCTGGACAACTTCTTTCACAAATGGGCAATGTCCAAGTCTATGTTGCCTTTTGGGTTTTTCACCTTGCCATCAAATCACTATTGTACGAATCATCGATGAACTAACTATGAGTAACCCCGCCTACTTCCCGCTCCTTCTTCGAAAGTTGGGGTTCATCGTTGGATCTCAAGCCATCTGGTACCACTCCAACATACCCAGGTCGCAGTACTATTCCTGAGACAGAGAGACAGGCGTCTCCATTTGCTGTTGGATTCTCTCTGGCAAATTATCCTTTAGACGACCTCCACGTCTTACCCTTTGAGAAGGCGAAACCAAATGGAGTCAAATTGCTGAGGTTAAGTGACAGATATATCTCACCAAGACAGACCGGCAGGAGCATCAGGCATACGTTTCAGAACAACGCCTCGTATTTTGCACCCAGGGTCAAGCACATTCCACCAATTTTCTAACCAATCAAACCACATTGAATGATTCGATTTTCGGAATGCTTCACAGCGGCAAACCACAATGGAATGCGCCCTCTGACCTCATCATGATGCTGGTCTAGAACTCGGCTATTGCCGCCGCAAAGTATATAACCCTCCAGCCGTGGCCCTCAATCAATTCCCACACGGTACCCATCAAGTTCCCAATCAGGATACTCGGATTCCACTTCCTCTGATCAATTCTACTTCTTGAACATCTTATTGAACATCTTATCCATAATGGGAGACACCTGCACCTGCACTAGCTCGGGAGACTGCCCCTGCAACGGACCCCAGTCCTGCACCTGCAGCAACAATTGTGCTTGCAAAGGTTGCGGAGTACGTATCTCTTGGACTATCTCTCAGGAAACTGGTGAGGTGACATGATAAAGGATGGATATGACGGCTGACCTGCACTTGGGTATAGAAGTAAACCTTAAGTCTTTTTGATAACTGCAACGACGTGCAATTCGTTCGAGTAATGCTTGACGGGTGGTGACGATGATTGGAATGTGGAAAGTCTGTACTATACCTATACCATATAATCAAATACCATTGTGATTTCATTGTTTGATCTTGTCCTAATTGTAATTCTCGAATGGTGTAATAGGAGAGTCTCTATTGTAGGCTAGTCCAGACGCACATATACAGACAGTAGAAAGTAAGAGCTGTAATTCTGTTCCGGGACATCTGTATTTTTTGTAGATTCTAATTCTTACCATCCAAGGCTGCTCGGGATGCCATCAAAGCGCCTGTAATGGTAAAACATACAAATGGCGAGAGCATATACATAACCTGTTAGCTAGTTAGCATTCTCTCAATCTACTTCAAGAGACAGGAGTTCCTTACAGTCAGAGTCTTTGCGACAGCCATCTTTTCTGCTTCTGATATCTTTGCCAGTTCCGCAAAGCCTGATATCACCAATGCAGGAGGCCCGGCTGGCATCAACATTAAGCTGAACCACAAGATTGGATCATAGCGGACAAGGGCGGTTCGTTTGGCCAGCATGTAGATGAGAGAGATGCTGATCCTGTAATTTCGGCGGTCAGTGCTGGGTACAGCCAGCGTCTCGACACCAAGCACTCACGCAGGCCAAATGACAAGGCGAACCAGGAAAATTGTCACGATTGCTTTCTTAGGTATCTCCCCGGAATTACCACTGGCCTTCATCCTCTGGAAGCTAGCGCCCAGTTTTCCTCCCACAACAAAGATCTGCAAGGTCGTGAACAACTTGCCAATATTCTTAACACTCGACGTAAGCCAGGCGTTGAAGATCCCGCCTTCTTCGTAGGGTCTGAAGAATGCTCTGTGCAGCTGAGGGACGAGACCAAGAGTAGCACCGATGATAGTGCATAAGATTGCGACGTCGGCAAACGGCGACTCGAACGGCGCCATCAGTTCCTGCTTCACACGCTCGGGCAAGAAAGCCGACACCCAGCGGCCTACACGCCTGAACTTGCCAGAGACCTTGCGCCGGGCCTTTTGCGCGCGCTCCGGCAGAAGCGAAGTCTCCTCGCCGGCTTCCTCCTCGTCGTCGTCTGCGTCGTCGCCGATATCACCCTGTCCTGCTTCAGCGTCGGTGTACTGTGCATCTCTCCCTTCGTCCTGGTCGTTGCCATTCTGCAGCATTTTGGGTCCAACGGCGTAGCCGATGGTCTTGCTGACGACAGCGCAGAGGAGGAAATAGCTCTGAGCACGGGCAATTGCGCCGGACATGGAGTCACCTTCTTGAATAATTAGTTTCAAGCTTCCCACGCTCTCAAGAGATTGTAGGAGGAGCAATGGCAGCGAGGTTGTGTTGTTGAATGCGCATGCGGGCGTTACCCAAACTGGGAGTCCCAGGCCTCGTGATACAGCGTGAGCGAGTCCGATCGAGGCAGAGGTGTACACAGCCGCCCAGACTGTAGATTGAGCAATCAGTTCTCTAATTGAACTACTATTGTCGGTGAAATTAGGGACTGTGCGGTAATGCCTCACCTAAGACAGGAACATAATCCAGGACAATGTCCGCGTGCAGTTGTTCGCCTAGATGGACAACAATTAAAGCTGGAAGAAAGAGCTTCACGCCCAGACCAGCCATATCACTTATCGAGCTCTCCTTCACCAGTCGAAGCCGTTCAGCTATGGCTCCATAGCTCATGGTAAGGAGGACCGAGACACATGCTTGGAGCGCACCGAGGAACGGGGTGATAATTGGGCCCTCCAGCATGACGGACTACAAGGAATTGATAAAGCTCCGAGAAATTAACTTTGGCTTGTCCCAATGGCGTGTTGATGTGCCATTGCATGTTTTATGAACTTATCCAATGCTTATCCAATTCTCACTGGTCGTGATGGATGTCGTCATCGTGGCGAAACAGAACAGGGGCACAGTGGACCTGGCCTCCAGCTCATGCGACAAGTTTCCAAGTCTGAACAGCTTGGTCTTACTGTCACTGCCATGGACAGGCTTCCATGAGTCAGGAGACCTCCAATTAGACATGTTTCTTCATCTACTCGGTGGATATGACCAGTCCTAAATTCACAGGACATTCTAACGCAACTCCGCAGCGAATTTACTCGTAACAGGCTTGCCTTAAATCTGCCCTGGAGAAGTGCTCTGCTTCCCATCCCAAGGTTTGAGGACTTCTAACCCCTGTTGGAGAACGTGCCTTAGAGACGTCGTAGTTTATTCAGTACGTGCATAATGCTGCCCAACAGTGTGCCAGCAGCAACAAGAGCAAACAGAAGACCCATGAGCGCCAGAAACTCTACCCCACGCTTGGTCCGCTTAAGTGGTTTGCGTTTCCCCAGTCGTGTGGTACGAGTGTAGAAAGGTACATATTTAAATTCGAAGAATGTCTCCCCCCCGAGCCCTTCGTCCTTGTCACTGATTATCTTAAAGTATTTCTTGCGACGAAACTATGATCCATCAGCACAAAGATAGTCGACAGTTAGTGACTGAGCAAGACACGCATTCTCACCTTAATCATTGCTTGGTCAATAGAGGGGAGCAATCTGAAAGTATAAG